ACTAACTTACCCTTCCCCCTCCCTCCTCTCTCTCTCTCTCTCTCTCTCTCTCTCTCTCTCCCTCTCTAAGGAATAGGGACGAGCATAATCTGATATCACGCTGCAAAATGAATTAATATTTCACAGTGTGTCGAAATTTTTTCTGCATTCGTGATATCGAAGGGACAGGGGGCCAGAGATATTGAAGATTGTGGGTTTGAAGCCCTGCCAGTGGGCCCCAAAAATTTAGGTTACTGGTCCGACTGGGCACGTCATGGAAACCACGGCACCACAAATCCCTTCTCTCTCCGTTATTTTAGTCTCCATCCGTTTGACTCATCGACGAGTCGGTCCATCATTTTATTTTCGCCTCTGTTGCTTCTTCTTCATCTTTGATACTACTAGTTAACCGTAATTACTAAACGTGTGAAAGATTGTGTCATTACAAAAGATTATCACTCGTTCTAATTTTTTCTTCATTTTTTTCCTAATTTTTTTAAAAATAAAATTTTACAGATTAGCGCATTCTCTTTTTAAGATCCAAACTGATTTCCGATAATTTATCTTTCACTTCCATCATTATCTTCCATTTAACATTATCTTCCTCTAATTATTCTGCCTTACAGCCAATTTGATCGTTCACTTTGTAGTATCTTCTTTATGGCAACGTGTTCCCTCGATTATCAGTATCTATATTTTTATATTTTTTATTCCTCATTTGTTTTGCAGTTCTTTTACAATGTTATGCGCTACCGTTCCGAGTATCAATACTCTTATATCTTACATGTTTCTCGCGTAAATTAATCAACAGTACAGTTAGACACATCGTGACCATGCCTCTGTTTACGATTCGCGTGTGCGATTACAAGAAACCTTCTCGCGTCTCATTGTCGGGTTGAAATAAAAGATCCTTTCTTTCTCTCTCTCTCTCTCTCTCTCTCTCTCTCTCTCTCTCTCTCTCCCTCTCTATCCATTTCTCCTCTCGTCTCTTTCCCGACCACACATTTCTTGGCATCTTCTCTTTTATATCTGGATCTACGCGCTTCCTTGTTCCACTCCTGAAGAGACAACATCGCACGACGGACCGTATAACCTTCGAGACCGTAAACCCGTTATATCATTATATTCAACAATAATCCGCGGTCCATATACCGAGCGCAAACATCGGGACAAACCGCCTTGCAAACTGTCCCAGATCCTTTTTCAACGCCGCTCCTTTGTTAGAGCCCGTCGGTAATTTGGCCTGTTGTCCGGCTCGGAATGACACTCCGCATCCAAAGTCCGGAAGCTGTGACCGCCACGATGATTATCCCCTCGAAAATAAATCCCCTTGTCATCCCCGATCATCCCGCTGGCGATGTTCCACGACAATGGTAGCATCGCGGTAACACCGGCAATGGTGTACGTGCGACTTTTTTTGCGATCGAAATACCACGACATACGGATTCATCTCGAATTTAATTACGACGCGAAACGCGGCTCTCGGCAGAAATCGAATCGTAAGATTCCACGGAAGAACGTATTTAGAAGAACGATGTCGAGCAATCAAGTATCCCACGAGAAACCGCATTGCATGCGACGTGCGTACCCGGATCTTCATACCTCCTTTACCTTTATTCCGTATTTAAACGTAACGGTAAATTGAAAAAAAATTAATTATCTATATTCCGTATGCATTTTTTTGCATTAAACTCTTTCGTATTATTGCAACATTACTTCGGATCTCAGGAATGAACATTACGCATTTATCATTACATCTTCTATCAAATTATCTTTTCGATCAAAGAATTTCTGTCCTTGCAAAAATAATGTTTTAACAACTTATTAACCGTGTTACAAATGCGTAAAGCGAAAAAAAGGTTTATTGTGGAATTGTTACGCGAAAGTTGGAAAAATGCCTGAAAAATGAAGAGCGAGGAATGATGGTTCGGATAAAGAGAAGGATATCGGCACGTGAGAAAAATGACAAGATCGATATTGCGGTAACAATCATTTAATTGAACATCAAGTTTTTATAAATAATGCACATGTACAATGCATATGACTTTATACAAAATATGTTCCGCCAAAATATGATCAGCGGCTACCGCGGCGGAAGCAGCAGCAACGAGAATTCGAGGATCGAGTGACGCATGGGATAAACGAGTCGCGTGAATGTGCGATAAGTGTGTGAGTCCGCGAACTCTCGACGACTAACATCGAGAAAATCGACGAATACTTTTGTGTCCCGATACGATTGTGAGAATTATCGTCGATCCGTCGAAAACTCGCACCTCGTCAACGAGGTACATACGTACATACATCCTTCGTCGATTCGGTATCCTTAGAGGAAAAAAAAGAGACCCGTACGTAGATCCTTTTATCGCAGGACCATGAGGGGGAAGTGCAATTAAGCATACCTTGTCGTACACATAATATTTTACACACGGTGAAGGATCGATAAACTAATAGAGAGATATGAAGGACAAGGGAGGAAGCTTAAATAAAACGGCTTATCTTACAAGGTACGCGCGATAGGAAAAGTAAAGTATTGAGGGACATAAATAAAGTGGGGAAACGATAGGAAAAGATACGATAGGACGTTGAGGGAACATAAAATAAAAGCGATATAAATAAAAGAAAATTAGAAGCTATTCCTTAGCGCTACATTCGAGTTTAGGTACATCTTGAGCGCGAGCAGCACGCGCCCGACTGCGTTTCAATACGAAATTAATCCTTTTCTTTACTTTCTTTTATCCCATGATACACATTGACAATGATTTGTATTAAGAATCTTGATATAATTCACCGTATCTATAGAATAAATAAAAATGAAAGAAATTATTAATCTCGCAAAATATTTCTCCACTTGAACATTTGAGATGACAAGATCGGGAATCGAACCGGAGTTCGATTTTTTTTTTTTGTCTGGCTGAGCACCGACAACTCAAGAAATATATCGAGCAAGTTTCTTTTAAAGAATAAAATTTGTAAGCTTATCTCGCGACATAACAAATTTTATTATATAAAAGACTTTTCGGTGTGTCACAGTGTTCTTAATAGCTCTTTGCGTAAAATGAATGTACGATGAAAATGATACAGTAGAGTACAGCCGGTACATAATAACATAATAATCGAATGTAATTACTAAAATAGAAAGAATATATTTACACTTTCATATAAAAAATAGCGCATCGGCAATATTTCTAATTTTTCATAACTCACAAGAAAATTATCACATAATATATTTGAAGAAAACAATAATACTTAAAAAAATTCTTTTACTTTTTGTTTCGTCATCAAATATAAATAAATATACATATATATCATTATATATTTATATATTCATATGTTTAAATATACGAAACCTTTTATATACACATACATATACATACGTATGTATGTATGTATAAATAAATAAGGTTTCTCTTAAAATTTTGTACCGCGTCTACATGCGGAGTCTGAATTGGAAAACGGAATGGGAGAATTTGCAATTGAGAACGAAAGGATAAAATCATGCATTACCGGCGAAACCATCAAAAAGCTTTCCTTCTAACAAGACATATTTGAAGCTTGTCAATGAAGACGTATGAGAAGACATATTAACTCTATCTCATTATTGCACTTACACTTCGAAATCTATTTAGATGATATGTGCGATGCATTCTGGGCATCAGACTTGGGCATTAAATAGGCAATTGGTCATCGATCGAATATCATATTTCGATCGTTAATAGAAGCTAGCCGAGCGTCGTATCTTCAATATGTATATATGCGTAACAAAGCCCGTATCTGCTCGTATAAATAGCGTAATATAATTTTAACACACTGCACTACTGGATTGTAAGCCGAATATCATTGAATGTTGAATAAAATGCAACGATGGAGAGCCACGATTATCTTATACTTTCCATCGTTACTCATCTCGATCGAGATTCAATGACGTTTAGCAAAGATCAAGTAGTTGATTGCTGAAATATTAGTATTACACTTTTAAAAGCATATTGAAAATGCGGACTTTGCAGCACTTGCATCCTGGGATTCCGGTGATAGGAATTTCAGTCACTCAGTCATCATGATCGACACGCTTCATCACGAGTAATGTATTTCAGTGTTAAGTGTCGTCGAAGAGTGTTCTTATTAACATATATTTGTCTTATTCAACTATCATAGACTAACTTTCATTAATAATATATATATATATATATATATATCTCGATAAATCGAAAACGATAAAAAACGATCTAATCCCTGCCAATTCGTTTGTGAATCTGTTGATGTTTGATAAGATGCGCCTTTTGTCTGAAGGCTTTGCTACACACATCGCATCTGAATGGTTTTTCACCAGTATGCGTACGCAAATGTACCTTAATATTGCTTTTATTTAGGAAACCTCTTTGACAGATATGACACCGATGTACCGGCTTGTCCTTTCCACTCATTAGACCCGATTCCGTTCCGTATGGTAGCGTCGCGGTACCGGCGGCCGGGCCCTTCTTGGAAGGTGGGCCCCCGGAACCCGGCGAGGATCGCGATCTCTTTCTGGGGTGAGAGGGCGCGGCGAAAGACGAGTGCAGAATATCGTCGGGGCTGCAAGACGTGGACACTCGATTGGGCGGGCTGAGCGGCGGGTACGGGCTCGTCGACGAGGGGGTCTCGCCGCAAGACGCGTTCTGAAGATTCGCCGCCGCGTTGCCGGCCTGCAATCTCGCCTGCAGCAGGGGCGCGTACTCCAGTTTACCCTGTGAGAGCAAGTTCTGCAACGCGGAGCCAGCGTGCTGCTGGGGGGTTTGCGTCGAGGGCGTCGTGGTCACGTAAATCTGGTGCGTCGCGAACGAATTGGGCGACGTAGTCTCCTGGGTCTTGGGCGAATGGTTCGTAATCCAATCGGCGATGTCTATCCAGTCCCCTGAGGCGTCTGTCTCTTGCTCGGAGTTGGGACCGTTTCCGTTGCCCGGCACCGTCGTGTCCGCTATCGCGGAACCGATGATCTGCGCTATGTCTTCCATATCCTCGTAGATCGTGTGCTGCGTCGACTGCGGCAATTGTTGTTGCTGCTGCTGTTGCTGCGGTTGCTGATTGTGAGGATGATGCTGCGGTTGCTGGTGATTCTGTTGCTGCTGTTTCTGACTCGCCTGCGGACATGGCGTACTCGAGGACACTACGGGCGATTCGAAGAATTCCTGATTGGTCGAAGGTGTGGGAGAAACAGGTCCTACCTCGATCCCCGATCTTTGGCCGGACGAGGCTATCGTGTGATAGTGATGACCGGGGATACCGTTGATTTGAAGGTGTCCCGTGTAATTGGTAAACGGTGGAAGCGGGAGCATTTTCACGTCCGACATCGACTGCTCGGCAGAGACGGTCGCGCCCAGAAGCGATTCCCAGTTCTCTTGAAACGCGACCGTCTGCTTCGCATCTGGAACACCGCCCTCCAAGAATTCCGGCCCGTTTGGCCAAGGCAACAGCAAAGTGTCGATCTCGGTCGGTGAACTACCCACCACGATTCCGGAACCTTGACTGCTGTGCGGTGGCTCGACACCGGATGAAGTCAAGTGCGGCGGCGCCGCCGGGGGACCTGACTGCGTCTCGTATTTCATCTCCGATGCGATGTCCGATATTGGCGAAATGGTGTCCAAATATGGCGGCAGAGCCGCGTGCGATGCGCCGCCGCTGGTGGTGGTGGTGGTGCTTCTTCCCGTGCAGAAGGATTGCTGCTTGAAATTGCCACAATTGCGGACGTTAATTGCGACGGTATCAGCCGCGCTCGTATTTATCGCCGGTTCTTCCCTCAGTTCCGCACCAGATTCCAAGAAGTAACCCGCGCTGTTAACCCTGTAACTCGGTACCACGGGCACCGGCGCTTCCTGTTGCTGGTGCTTATGTTGCTCCTGCGTCACTGTCTGCGGTATAATCCTCCCAGAGGGGAATTCCTTCGGGAAGTTGTTCCTGTCCACGCAAACGTTGTTGCCGCTGATGTTGCCGCTGATGTTGCCGCTGATGTTGCCGACACGACCTTGAGCGTTCGGCAGGACCTTGAGCGTATTTAACGTGGCGTGGTTGTACGCTGCTGACTGAACAAATCGAGACGACGATGAGGATGATCCGCTACACGTCGGCTGTCGTTCCTCCGGACAATCAGAGCACACGCCGTGAAATTCCGTCTTGTTCCCGACGAAATTTCGACGAGACGGCGTCTGCTCAGCGTTGTACAGCACGTTAGCGGCGGCCGGCGCCGCGTTGGTAGCGGCGATGCTACGCGTATTTGTCGACGTGGGCGACGTCGTGAATGTTGTTGCGCACGACCTGGGGAAGAAAACGTTTTCCGAGTACGCGTAACCGGATACCACGGTTGCTCGCGCACTGGCTGTCTGTGCGACCGATGACGAAGATCCCAAGGCGTTCGACGGTGAATTTTCAAGAGAGTCTGGTGACGATGGAAGCTTGTAACCGAACGAACTACCTACTACATTGGTACCACATACGTTCGCATTGGCAACGACTCGATTGTTCGACGACTGGTACACGGAATTGCACAAAACTTGTTTTTGGAGGTTACCCTCGTAATTGGATGATACACCGCGGCATGAGGCTTGATATGGATTATTGTAATACACCCGATCACCGCGCCTCCACGATATCTGATCAGACTCACAAGTCGCAGGCTCCGAAAGCGAGGATAACGATGAATGGCTCTGATTGTTGCAACCACCAGCGAAGCTGTGGTACCCTGGAAACACAAAAAGGACGTCGATTGGTAGCGGCAGATTAGATAAAGGTAAATTGAACAAGGACACTGTAAAGAAATATATCCGCGTGGAAAAATATGCATGCACACTTATATCCTCATTATATTATATCTTCATCTCCGCATTCATACATTTAATATCTTTCTCACATTATATACTATATATACATACATATTTCCTCAAATCCCTCAAATATTATTTTATTGTATTGTACTCTATATAAATCATTCTTATATTCTTAGGAAAGTGAATATAGTATGTAAACAATATAGATAATAAATATAAAATAACTTAGATGCGTATAAGATATATGTAAATTACTATTGGAATTACTACTATACTTATACTTGTTAATATTATTCAAAAGAAGAAAAAAATATCTTATAAATCATGAGACATAAGGTTAGCGCTGTTTTGTTTTTTTGTTTTTTTTTTTTATAAAACAGCGCTAATTAAAAGGAAAGAGAAAGGGGTTAAATTAATTAAATTAATTAAAGAAAGAGATTGGAAGGGGATCTTCCAATCTCGAAACGAGATGTCTTTTCGAAACGAATTCGCCCCCGTAGGGGGAAGGAGGAGAGGAAAATGAATAGGGGCAAATCCGTGAGGCAAGTGAGGTATACCATGCGATCGTGGTGGACGCTGGTACGGTGAATAGGTAGGTAGGTCTGGCTGATACGATCCGACGATCGCACTCGCACACGTGCACGCGTACACGCACCCGCACGCGGATGCATCGTGTACGTGGTTGCTCCAACACGTTCACGTATTATGCCTACATATTCCACGCGGTAAACAAGTGTCGGTGCGTACGTATACACGTGGCGCGCGTGTATACGTACCGGGTAGGCGCACAGATCCCACTCTTTCCAGAAGAAAGACTTGCTCCGGCTAACTGGGTTAGTGGCACATTAGCCAGCCACGGCCGAGTACACTCAGTCTCGAGCCAAATTGCTGCGTTTAAAAATATATTTTCGTAGCGTTATATATGCGGAACCATGCGGAAGAAACGATGACCAGCCAGAGGGAAAGAGGAAGGAATCTGGCGAGTTATTTTCGCTCGAAAAGTTAATATCAAGCGCTAATATCAATCTCTCATTATATCCTTATTGATGTCCGAAATTTCTTTTAAATTGCATGCGGTCTTATGAAAATTAGCAGAATTGTAAAATAATTTCTTTGAAACGTAAAAATAAATGCAGTTTACAAAATTTATAAAATATATATATATAAAATTATAAAATTATAATATATGAGAGAAAGGAATTATTAAATGCAGCTGGATTGAGAATTGAATTTAAGGAATAAAATCTTTCTTCAGAGAGATTACTCTTTCCATTGCGCTCTCTCAGCTCTAATTTAATATACTGTAATTTTAGAGATTAATTTTCTCATGATCGTATTAATGTATTTAATACGTAATATTATTCTGCTATATAAATAAATATTAATTAATAAATAAAATAATGTAAAGGGAATTAAAGCAATTCGAGATTGAGCAAATATTCAATGACATCTAAAATTGCAAATTGATAAACTATAAACAAACACATAGACGTACAAAGACAACACAAAACATACAAGTATAAATATATTTAATAACACTAGCCTCAGGACTACATACATATGTTCAACATTCCATAAAAATTTCAAATCTGTAGCACTTTCAGAAATTTATATAATTTTGAAATTAATAATGTTAGATTAGAAAAAGAAAGTATATAGAATTCTCTAAACTCTGACATATTGCAATTCAGCAATGTTTCGCATATTATATAATTTACAAATTATACGAATAAACAATCAATGATTTCTTTAGCTATAATATAAATGAATCACTTAGATCTGAGAGATCTGAGAGATCTAAGTGATCGATTTATATTATAGCATTTCTATTAAAATTATTGAGAGATTTAGCCTAGATTTTTCTAACGTATAAGTATGTAGTCGAGCGGTTAATGATAAATATATTGATAGAAATTAAGAATTTGCAGTACGTTGAATGCGGGTGACTTCTCCAGTCTGCTCGTGCGGATAAAAATTTGTCATTAAACTGCTATTATTTCCAAAATTCATCATATTCACAGTTTGCTCGCACTTTCTTTCTGAATATCCTCAAAAGACCTCTTCTCCCCTGCGTCTTCTTCCGCTTCGACAGAGCACCAAAAATTGTTCATATGAATATGGCTGTTAAACTTCGTAATCTTCAGTCGATGTCTTAAAACGTTGGCACTTGAAATGACAGCGGAACTCACTTTTGACTTATGGTATAATATATATATATATATATATATATATATATATACCGACAGTCTTGATGCATCGAAGAACGATCTGTAATGAATAATAATATCAATACAATTTTCCTTGTTATAAGCCAATATTTTAATTAATAATTATATACATGCATAATATTAAATTGGTGATTATTTGTATATACACTACTGGAAAAATAGAAAGAAAATTGTAAAAATGTAAGCAATATTCAAGCCAAGACAATCTAAGCAAACAATCTGTACAGTTTAATACCTATTATGTAGAAATGTTTATATAAATTCGGCATTTTCAATATAATCGTATAATCTTTTGCAAGTATAATATTCACAATAACTGTATTAGTATTAATATAACATTAGTTAATATAACAATTAGTACTAATATAACATTAGTACTAATTTCATTGTTAAGATTTCCTTTTTAACCAAAAATTAATTATTAATTGCATAAATATACAAATATTACATAAAAGTGAAATTTATAATTATTTGTTAACTGAAGAGAGTCTGTACGTGAAAGCTGAAACTAGATCTAATACAATTGTGAAATTGTATAATTGAAAAAGAATATACAAACATTTATAATATTTATAACATATGCTTTGGAATAATTGTACAACATATGTGTGCATCAACCCAAAATCCATTTGTTAGATTTTTCTACGAGAAAGCCATTTTATTGTTTTGCTTAATTTTATTCGTCATAGAAATAACCATGTTTCGCTGCAGGTTGGAATAGTATAGTTGCAATATTGTAATGTCGCAACCATAATTTTAATAATTAACCTTAAAACCTTACAATATCTTATGTCTATAATATGTGATTATATGTGAAAGTAAGCAATGAAAGAATAAGGGCAACTGGCAAGAGTAGAAATGGCAAACAATGGCAGAAAAGCAGGGAGTAAACCGTGAGCAAAGTTCAACTATTAGAATTTTGTCAAATAGTTTCATATATAATATGAAATTAAATAATATGTGTAAAGATATTACACGTAGGTTTATTTTCAATTTTTGAATTTGTTATACGTACACAAAAATAATAAAAAAAGAAATACTTCATATATACATTCTCTAATTTACTGGATAATTCAGTACATGATCGTTATATTAGAAGATCAACAATTTACATAAATTTAATTTATTATAAGAAAAATATATAAGAAAAATAGACAATTTGCAAGAATTTAGTTTATTTAAGTAGCAGAAAAAGCATGTTTAAACTTATGATTATATTAATAATAAATTTATTAACTTAGTAAATTAGTTAGAATTTGTTAATAGAAAATAACATTAATAATAATTGATAATGTTAATTATTAAGTTAAATGAATTGTGCAAATAATAATGTGTTTGTGAATTAGCAATATAATGTGTAAGATGAAATTTATTATTTATTGCAGTATAGTATTTATATATTTTTTTATAAGTCTCTAATTTAATTATATTTCAATTGTTGTAATTAATTTGTAATTATGTATTTGTACTTACCTGTACTAAAAAAAACTATAACGTATATAATTTAAACATTTCTATCGATGTATTACTTTTCGTGCATTAATTTTGTGTACAAACGAGCACTTAATTATATTTATTACTTATTGTTTAGAAATCAAAATTATGTGCAAATCACAAATTCAAATTTAATAGATTTTCTGTAGTTTATTAATAAAATAAAGGACGAAGATATATCAATATTATCAACTTGCAAAATCTGTCTATGTCTGTGAAAATTTATAACGAATTATTACCGCAAATTATTTACAGTAAGACTGTTTCACGATATTCAAGTTTCAACATTCCATAAGAGATAGAATTAAAACGAAAAGTATAGAATATTGATGAAAAACATCGTGAGTAATTAAATGCAATAAGAATCGAAAAGCGCGAAATAACAGATCGAAAGGAGAAATTATCACTACAGACGGGAAGTCTAATAAGAATACAAGATAAAAATACTTTATCCCAATAAGTAACGTGAATAAAATTTCCGAAAATTTATTCGCTTTTCTTTTATTTTTTTATAACAAAGTTATAATTTCCTGACTTTGCTATGAGTAAATAAAAAAAAGACGAATTAAATTTTACTCTTCCGGTTTCTCGATACAACCACAGCTGCGCGAGAATTAGGCGTTTCCGAATATCCGCACGGAATTGGCAGATCCGCTTGCCGGCTTACTATCATTATCGAAATGGCCCTTACTCATGCGGAAGTAAAGCGCCCTTCATTGCTCGCATCCTGTCGCGAGAAGCTCAAAGTAGATGTCCTTTCTTCTCTCAGCTTGAGATTGACGTATCCGCGTGGCTGCGCGGTGCACGTTTCATGAGAAACAGCACAAATCGGCCATCGGCCACGCCGTCTTGGCAATCTTACCTGTCGCTTCCTCGAGCGTTCATCGTCATCGTTATCGTCATCGTCATCGTTATCGTCATCGTCATCGTTACCCCCTTCTCGCGAAATCTCTCTCTCTCTCTCCTACCACCACTTCGTTCCGTCAGACCAACTTCGAGTCCGTCCTTGTCGTCAGTTAGAGTCCGTCCTTGTCAACGGTAAACGCTTCGGAATAAGCGCTCCCTCCTCCACGACTGCCTCCCCCTCCCGAGGGGGGTCAAGAAGCGGGAGGATAGGGGGTCCTCTCGCCGTGTACCGTTATCCAGACCGGCGCAGCCTGCTCGGCGTGATCGGACGGTGGGCCCGCGCGCGA